TACAGCGGCTGCCGGAAAATACGCAAGCGATTCTCGCAATCGTGAGCTCCGTATCGCTCGCCGAACTGGCTAATCTCGCAGACCGAGTGATTGAACGATCACTGCGACAAGCCGAATCCAGCAAGGTCAACACCGTCGAGTCCCAGGGCATTTCTTTCACTTCTTTGCAAAAAATGATATGAGCTCTGCAAGCGAAAGTTGCGACACTTATTCGCTAAGTCCAACGGCTCGCTATGAGGCGTCGCCGTCACAGCCGATCCAAATCACCCTAGAGATGCTACAAATACAGCAAGGCAATTTTACTGTTGGTACCACAGCTTGTAAATGTGTTAAACCATGCGCCTCCGACGAGAAGCGGGGAAACATCTCGCCGGCCCCTAATGACGACAGACACTATCGGTCAAAATCAAAGTCACCTCATCCGCGTTAGGGACTTAACTTTCGGTACGGAGTTTCTAGTGGACACAGGGACTGAAGTTAGCTCAGATAGGGCAATCTCACCCTCGCCGAACAGATTAGGTGCCATTAATGACACACCAATCGTAACCCACGGCGAGAAGCTGCTAACGCTTAGTATAGAGTTGCAGCAAGCTTTTAGCTGGTCATAGATTGTAGAAGTTGTGCCCTTCGCTATCACATGCATCGAGTTGCTCCTATATATTCCGACCTTATCGTCGACGCTAAAAGGTAGAAGCTTATCGACTCTCGGACACAGTTCAGCGTTATCAAGATCAGCGCCAAGGTTGACGCTAGCAGTCCCGATCGTGTCCCACCTCAAGCTTCACAGCCTTGTATAGACCTGTTTAACCAGCATCCTAAGCTCGTTCGCACCCATAACGACTTACTCCCGTAACTTCAAATGTCATGCATCACATATGCACTAAGAGTCCATTTTTTTCGGTCCGCTCTCGCAGACTAGTCCCGGACAAATATGAAGCGGCCAAGGCGGTATCCGAGCAAATGCTTGAACCTAGAATAATCCGCTAGTCCAAGAGTCCTTGGGCATCACCATGACACATGGTACCAAAGAAATCCGGAGACTGGCATCCCTGTGGTGAGTAATGTGTCAGCTGTACTCCGTAACGGCGCTTCGCTGCCGTGCGATCACCACAAGTCGCGCGCTGGCTGAGTATACCGTGAGGACGCCCACGCCTACGCGGATTCGAACCGGTGACCTTATGGTTGCAAACCAAACGCGCAGACCACTCGGCCACCGGCCGACCCCTGTAGTGACTACAGGGCACTCAACAAATTTACCGTCCCGGATAAGTACCCAATACCGCAAATGCACGACTTGACCTCAGCTCTGACTGGTCAGTCAGTCGTTAGCCAAATAGATCAAATGGGTGCTTATCATTAAATACCAGTAGCGCAGGGTGACAAACCTATAACAGCGGTTATTACACCGTTTGGTCTTTTCAAGTACCTCAGAATACCTTTTTGACTCAGCGACGCTGTAAAAACCATTCAGCGTTTCATTCACGGGATAACACAACGACTCCAATGCGTTTATCCTTACTTAGATGACAACTTCGTCACCTTGACGCACTTTTCAAACGACTGACGCAACACGGGATTATCGTGAACCCTGATAAATGCTAACCTGCCAAAGCACGAGCGACTTTCCTGGCAAGGTAATACCTACCGCTGGTATTCAAGCTGTCAGACAGTCCATGACAGACGGACTATCCTGCTCCCAGCTCCTTCAAAGAGCTTCGCAAATTATGTAGCCTGGTGAGCTAGTATCGACGCTTTATTCCTAACCACGCGAGCACAATGCAACCAATGACTAACTTGTTGCGCAGAAAGCAATGACCTTTGCTCGTTCCAAACGACGCCAAACTCGTTTTCGAGCTACTCGAAAACGCTATCTCCAACAAAGAGATTTTGTCCATCCAGATAAAACTTCACCACTCTGACAACCACCGTCGATGCAGCCCTCCAACAGCTCATCGACCAGCGTTGGATGTCTATAGGTTTCTTATCGAAACGTTTGCAGCCTAATGAATCGCTTTACAGCACCTAAAGTAGGGAGCCACTTGCGAGCTATCTACTTACCTAGGTACCAGACATGTTTGTCACTACCCCGAAAGTTGGCATTTCGCAGCCTTCACTGATCACAAACCATTGGACTATTCATTCTATAGCGCGACAGACAAGTATTCAACGCGAAAAACCAGATGCCTGTCTCTCAGTTCACGACAAAAGTACGACGTCTCAGGTGTTCTTTATTTCGTCGCAGACGCTCCTTCACAGATCCATCAGATCAACTTAGCATCGGGAACTAACATCGATCTACTCACTATGGCTCCAATTAATCATGCTGCTCCCGAAACAGATAAGCATCGGCGCAATATTTCCGACTCTCCTATGCAACAAGCACCACTCCAGCTTGCGACACCACGGCCAGCGTCGCAATCTCACACCAGTCATTCAGTCACAGCGGAACCTACAGCCCCATCGATCGAAGTGGTATGGAAGTAAAAAAACCTGTTCGTTTCTCGGACCTTATTAGCGTTTTTATTTTCCATAGAGCACGGCTCTCACATTTTTATGCTCCTATAACGATTTTCCAAAACCCATGCAAAAGGAATAAAACGTTTTGAAACTACCAAAAAGCAAAACATTCTGAAAACCCCAAAGACAGCTTCGTATGTTTTTCACATTATATGTCTTTGTATATACGTAAGCATTTACGCTTCCTATTGCTTCTGTTTTCCATTTACATACTGTCAGCTGGTCGCTCTCTGGTCACCACTTTGGTTTCACATGTCACTGAATCCTCGAGCCTTGACAAGTCACAACGAACTCCGCTCAGCAGCTAACTGGACTTTTACTAACGTTCCCTCACAAAAATGTTTTTCCGCTTCGATGTCGTAGGGAGGACACGAATGGGAACCTGATAGTGTCCGATTGCATAATACCCCCTCAGCAGCGAAATCAGATTTCACCACCTGGTATCGCAAAAGGCTGGCCCGCGACGGATAGTCCTCATGTAGATCAGAAAACTACTTACACAGTCCCTTCTGAGGGAGAGGTATGTAGCAGTCTGGAGTTTCTCCGGGTTGTCTGTGTAAAATTCTAACTAAAATTGTTATTTCATTGTATACTAAGACAACTGGTGCTGACTGTTGAGTTCCATTGCTTGGGTCGAGTACCACATTTGTTTGGCGCTCGTTTCGATTGCAACGCGCAATCTCCATATGTGCTGTTCCCACTACGTTCCTCCTAGCCAGTAGCGTCAACGTTGTTGTCTTTTTATAGTTAGGCAAACAAGGAACCTTTTACCGCACAAAATAAGAGCTTCTCTGCACCAAGATCTGTCTTCTAGAATCTTTATCTAGGCCCCATTAAAATAGTTTGTGAGAGAGCTAGCTCATCTGATTCGGAGAACAGTAGACTTTACCCGATTAAGGGGCATTCAGCATAAGGCACACCATTCCATGAGATGATCCAAGGTCCCCAGAATTATCTCAAAACACACAAGAGTAATCACAATATTCCTAATCGTAGTCCTCAGCGAATAACAGCGACAGTGCCTCAAGCTCCTCGGGTAAATCATATACGTAGATGGCGAACAGCAACGATCAAAATACCAAGCCCAGTGGGCTTCATTAAGAACAAGTTGTTTCGCTCCACGCGTACACTGTTCTGTACCCTATACAGGTGCAGACATGCAAGTAGGAGTTTGCCATATACCCCATGAGTCAACTTCAGTGACAGTTGTAAATGAAGTATGGTACGTCCACTGTCTGAGCTTAGCCTACGTGTTGCAAATAAATTGTTCGGGAACAAGAAAACTTGCGGAATATGTACTGCGAAGCAGTGAGATCAAATGCATTCAGATGATAGTCACCGAAAAACTCTCCAGCTTTTTTCGATTGAGTTCGACGCTTGTCAAGCTGACTGGCTTGGAGTTGGTGTGCAGATTGCTGGCACTGCTATTAAAAATCGGACAGGTGATTGTTTGTCTATCCCGAAAATAAGGCGCCACTAAAAAGATCACTTAGTTCAGTGGCCAATTTATGCAGCAGCACCGGATGGACTGAACTAAGACCGCAAGTTTGCGAAAAATTTAGTCACTCCAACTGCCCGAAGACTGGCGCCGCCGTTATGCCAGATTCATTGGAATAGAATCTCAGCCGTCATGCACGATGCGGGAGCCTTTGCTTGCGGCATTATCAATCGTCACCGCACCAGATATACGTGAGGAGGTGAAGTTTTTGGAATCCAGAAGAAAACTCACGGCTGGCCCAGGGCACAATCCAAACAGACGTACTATCAGGCGCAAACGAAAGCAGAGCCTGCGTGCTGACAAGGAAACCTGGTGGACCAGCGGGACTAAAGAAATGGGGGAGTGTGGAGTAGGCAATTACTGCAAACAATTAGAATTGATGCGCATCACATGTAACAAGAAATCAGACGTGAGGGAGATAAACTGGGACAGCGTTGGTGTACTGATGCAGTATAAGCAGCACCAGATGGCTCGTTGGTCACAGCACTTTCGGGAGCAGTTCAGTTAGCCCACTGCTCCCGTACCCCTTCCTACTAAGGTGGTGCAGGCTGAGCCAAGCCAGTTAGTTTAGAGAACCCATCGGGGGCGGAGGTCCGAAAAGCAATCACAGCTGATGGCTCAGACTGCCTCGCACTTGCATTATTTTAGCATGGTGGTGAGGTCCTATGCAAGGCACTGGTGTCCTGTCCGATCAGATCTGGAGTGAACCAATTATAGTGGTAATATACAAGAAGGACAGTCACACTGACTGTGCTAACCGTAGGGGCATTAGCCTAACGCTTCAAATCTCGTTCATCGCCTCATTGTGGAACGGGAATCCAGGAGTAGGGAAGGGCAAGCCTGATTACGCCCAGAACGGGCTGTATAGATCGTATATTCACTGCGGTAGGTGCTACAGCAATATCTCACGTACCGCACAGCCACAATAGCTGTGTTCCTCCATTGCGAGAGTGCAATCAACTCAGTAGATCGATCAATTCGGTTTGAAATGGCTGTGCGAAAAGGTGTTTCCAAGAAATATGTGGACATTTTACTTACTCTTTACTCGAACACCCCAAGCCGCGTTAGGGTCTACAGTGACTCATCAGATACCCTATCGACAACAAGTGGCGCTCGTCAGGTTTATCAAAATCCCCCATTTTAGTTCAACGTCATTTTGTTCCTTTGCGAAATATCACGATACAGGCGTTGACGTGCTGCCTTATGAAAAGTTAGTTAATCATAATTATGCGGGCAATATTGTATTGCTGTTTAACAATGAGGTGGCTCAAGCGTCCTTGGATGACCTGTAAGAGTGGTCTCATCAATTAGCAGGCGTTCCGCGCCTTCAAATTGTTGCGTTGTTGCAAGACCACTAGCCAGTTGATGTCCCGTTGACTTAAGGTAGCGGATCAATTCACTTACTTTGTCAGCCGCATCAGCAACGATGGGCGCACAAACACTGAAGTTAGTTCACGTATTGCAAAAACTAGAACTGTCTTCTTGAATCTTCGACATGTGGCGTCAAAATGGGGTTCCCTTCCGTCGGAAAGGTTGTGTTTACAATGCCACAGTGTGGGTCGTCCTACTTTATGGGAGCGAGACTTGCCCGCTTCGAGCTAGGGCGCGTTTAAGTATTTGATCATCGCTGTCTGTGAAGCAATGCTGGTGTGGTATTGAGCTGGCGTATCCGTAACGATGGTGTGCGCAGGCGAGTGACGGGCAGTAAGAATCAGGCTAGTTCCTTAGGACAACAGACCGCACGTACTACGCATGCCTAGTCACGACTTACGAAGGACGGACTTGTTGCGTTTGCCAAATATAGGATGCGCAAGGCTCGAGGTAAGAAAAATTTAACTTGCTAGAGTGCGATGATGTCACTAACTACAAAACTAGATGCCGTCGGTCCGTCTCGCCTTCCGGGCTGGAGTCCACGTGACTCGCCTTGTGTTCGGATCGTAGTCGGCCTCATGGCGCAGCTGCTGTGTCTCGCAGTCGAACTGTCAGTTGAAATGTGGTCGGTGCTGTTTTCTGCGGGGTAACCGTCGATTATGTCGCGGGGCAGTGAAAACCGCAAGGTAGCTGTCTGGGCGATACCGCTTTATCATTCCACGATAGCCAGTTGTTTGTGACGGTATACTGCTGACAAGAGGTAGATGCCTTGACGTTTAATGTTTACCTAGGACACTTAGGTTTTACGTTAGGTGCCCCTTTTGACTCTCTTTCTATCAAGAAGTCACTGTGGTTATATGGCAGCGAAGCATCTGTTCATATGGCTGGTGTACCGTTGTTGACGACATGCACAACTCTTTGGCGGTTTTGCTTACAAAGTACGTCTGGGGAACAGTGTTCGAATAAACATGGTGTGAAAGAGTTGACATTTGTTAAGTTTGCGGATCGCCATCGTTACAGGCAAATGTGGACCCGATTTCGGGTACTTACCGATGTCATCTATTTCACTTTTCTAGCCACTGTGGCTAGTTCTGTCAGTATTTTTGCATTTACTAGACCGTTTTTCACCTAGTTGGTTGCTCAGCAAGTACTGGCCAAACGGTTTTATGTTCGTGTTACGCAATCACTGTTTTTTAACTGCCGTGTCGGCTCTACATAATGTTGATACATGTGTGTACTCTGGGTCATTGTCAAAGGAATCTACTGTAATCTGTGGAAAATCAGATTGTGCGCAATGTGAAGTTTGAGGCACTTGGCACTACGAGGATTGCACTGGCCTTCTAATGGAGTAATATGCAGCCTTATCGACCAGCAACAGCCTGCTCTTTAGTTGTGTTGTCTGCTGTGAGTGTCAGCTGAATCACCAACATCATTACACATTAGTTGAAAGTCAGAAAAACTTCAGCTAACCGTGCCGTAATACAAAAGAGGTATGAGGAAGCGAGATACCAAACATTACAGAATACAAAATCAATCAATCGACAACAGCAGTCATTTGAACTGATGCTTCGCTGCCATACAACCATGATGACCACAGAAATAAAGAATAATAAGAAGGAAAAAAGGGAAATTTACTGGAAAAGCTTAATGCCCTGAGCAAACATCCAGGGTCAAGGCGCCCATACCTTGTGTCAACAAAATACCGTCACAAACGTCTGGCTATCTTGCAAAGATAAGTCGGCATCAGCAAGACAGTTTCCTTGCGGCTATCAATGCCCCGTGATATAATCAGCCATTATCCCGAAGATAACACCAAACACACTTTAAACAGGTAGTTCGACTAAGAGACCGCAGCAGTCACGCCACTGGTGTCGGCTGCGAGTCATGTTCTGTAAAGTATCAAGCCAAGCACAACGCGGGTTACTGGAGTCCACGGGAGGTAAGACGGACCGACGGCACCCAGTGACTTCATTTCCCGTTACCAAGTCAACTTTTGTCCACGTTAAGCCTTACACCATCCTATGACTGGTAGACTAAACAAGGCCCACCTCGGTAAGCGGTGACCAGGAATACGTAATACGTGCACCAGCCGACGCAACTTATTCAGTGCTATCATTTGTTCTAAGAAACTAGCTTGGTTATCACTGCGGAGTATTCGCCTACGCACATAATCGTTGCGGACAAGCTAGTGCTACCCGACACCAGCAATGCTCCGCAGATAACGATGAGCAAAGACTTGAAGGTGTCTCAAATCATCAGACCGAAGGGGCCAAGTCTTACTTCCATTAAGTAGGACTACTCTTACTGGGGCCTTGTAAATATGGTCTTTCAGACGGAATGAAACAATTCTATCGCTAAAGATGCTGTAGAGTCAAGAAGGCAGTGCTGGCTTTTGCATTAAGTGAACCGACTTCAGTTTCTATGGATCCATCGTTGCTGATGCAGCTGCCAAGTAAGTGAATCACTCAATCACTTCGAGTTCCTCATTATCAAGGGTTAAGGAGTCATCAAGTGGCTGGTGGTTCTGCAGCAACACTTTGCACTTTGAAGGTGAGAAGCGCATACCAAATAATGGGGCTGAGCCATCGTTGATTGATTGGATGCCGGTGAACAACCGTTCATGTGCAGCCCGTTTGACGACATCAGCTAAGGTTGATTCATGAAGCAGTACATAACGCTGTTTGTTTGCGATGTGCGTAGGCGAGTACTAGGTAGTGAAAACCATGCTAGCTCCCTAGAACAACAGATAGCACTGAATAAGTTGCGTCGACTCGGGTACGTGATACGTATGCCTGGTCACTGCTTACTTAGGAGGACGTTGTTTAGTCTACCAGGTGTAGGATGGCGCAAGGCTAGAGGTGGACAGAAGTTGACTTGGCAGCGGGAAATGAAGCCACTGACGACCAAACTGGGTGCTGTTGGTCCGTCTCGCCTTCCTGGCTGGAGTCCCCATGACCCGCCTTGTGCTTGGCTAGAGATGTTACAGGAAATGGCTCGTAAACGATACCAGTGGCGCGTCTGCTGCCGTCTCCTAGTCAAATTGCCTGTTTAAAGTGCGTTTGGTGCTAAGTTATCTTCGGGGTAATGGCTATTTATGAGGCCGGGCAGTGAAAGCCGCAAGGAAACTGTCTCGCTGATGCTGGCTTATCTTTGCATGATAGCCAGCTGTGTTTGACGGTATGTTGTCTGTAGTGCTCGAGTATAAACCCCCTAAGATATTCATATATTTCGTGGGAACAACTTGCTGCGCAAGTATTTCGAACAGACTGCATCAATCGACTGAATCGAACGCATTGTTGAAGTCGAGAAAAAGAGCTATTGTCGGTCTGCGATATGCGTGGCGCTGTTCTAGCAGCTGCCGCAGAGTGAATATATGGTCTATACAGCCACGTCCTGGACATAAACCTGTCTTCCCTTTCCGAATCCGAAATTCCCGTTCCGCAGTGAGGCGACAAACGAGGACAGAGCACAAAAACTAATAAAGCAAGTAATACTGTGCTAAGCGTAAGAATATCCATGCATTGTAAGACCGTTGTTGTAGGGGAAAGCTAAACGGAAATGGGAGGGACAAAAACTCATAATACAAACGCCATTGAGGTCAGCTCCTAGCCATATCAACTAGTATATACAACCAAGCGTATTCATCTTTCTGACTCAAGCCCGGAGTTCGCGAGACACCAACCGACGCCCAGTTCAAAGTGAGGAACTTAGTTCTTCTTGAGCAAGTCGTGGCTTGGCGTCTTCTATTCCTACACACAGACCCAAGTAGTGAAAGCAACGCAGGTCGTGGGAGTCGGCGTGCTGCACGTGACCCAGCCATCGGAGCCTGGTGTGTGAAATAACGGTGCTGAACGATTCATTCGCTCTTCCTGCACCAAATACGCGACGCCGAAAACGCTCATTTCTCACGCGGTCTTTCCACTATACATGAGCTAAGCTGCGAAGACGGCGGCGGTCGAGCGCAACTAGCCTCTTTGGGTCTGTCGATCTGATAGGCCAGGTTTCGCAATCGTACAGGAGGGTTAAATGCAGGGTCGCGTTGTAAAACTTGCGTTTCAGGGCGAGAATGATATCGCGACGACGCCACAGATGGCGTGAATTGGCAAAAGCACCTAGAGCTTTTGACATAAAATTTGTGATCTCATTTTCTGTTTCACCGGTCCTAATATAGTTGCCAAAGTACTTGTATTTCAGAATGACTTCTAGCTGATCCCCAAAAAGCGTCAGTGCAGGGATGGGTCTCTGTCAATTTTGAAGGAGGACCTTGCATTTCAACGATGCAAAGCATAGCACTTGACGACTGATAGTGTTAATCTGTGAAGTATTGCTCGGCACGTTTGGAAGTTGTTCCAGAGTAGGGCAATATCATCGGCATACTCAAAGTAAGGAAGTCGCTCACCTGGACATAGATTCACACCTAAGTCGTGTTCAATGAGTGCAATCTCCACAACTTCGTCGACGACGAAGTTACATAGAAAAAGTGACGGCGATTAACCTTGTCTCACACCAATAGAGATGTCGTAGGGTGACGAAATTTTGCTTTAGCCGACAGTGTGCCCAAACTAAACGCGTACAGCGCTTTAACAACGGTTACCTATTTCTCGGGCACACTTGTCCTGAGCAGACAGTCCCAAAGGGTACATCAATCCACTGAATCGGAAGCAGCTTTGATGTTATGGAACACAACTACGGTAGGTCGCCAATATATATGGTGGTGTTTCAACAGCTGATGTATAAGGAAAAAGTGGT